GCAGACCTTTTTTAGCCAGAGTACACATCTCCTGGGATCTGCAAGCTCTGAATAGCAGGAAAACACCTGCTACTGGGCTGGCCAGTTTCTTCCCTATTCCTCCCATGTAGAAGGATTTGCTTCCTCATGTTGTGACTGTACTGCAGCTTGCAGTGCAAAAATATGCTCTGGGAAAAAAAGCACTCTCAGGTCCTAGTCTATTTGGGATGGTGATTCAACAGGCTGCTGCCCTGTTATCTAAGTATGGAGCACAGTGGAAGCACTGAATCAGCTGGAACCAACGGGAAAGTCAGTGTTAATTAAAGGAATGAATGGGCTTGTATAGAGGAATTAGAGAATTCACTGACTTCACCACAGCTGCGAGTGACAAAGGCCTATCTTCCAGGGGAAGCTGGGTGACACATGCACATTCTTACACAGACAGGCCAAATTCAGGCAAGGCCTATAGGACTAAACACCAGTTTATAAACTGGAAGAGATCCTTCCCCACAACAAGGCTTTGACCTCAATGCTCAGCTCCTGCCAGAGCCATTGCTCCGTGCAGGGTCCTCCCCATTTCAGACCCTGGGCACCTCATGGTCTATCAGGTATTGTCTGTATTGTGGCATTACAGTGAGCCTGCATAAGCACACTCTAAGTGGTACAACCACCACTGTGGTAGGTCCCATGCAGACACACAAAAATGTGCTTTCTCCCCTAGATGATCAGCCCCAATGGCAAAAGAACCAGCTCCATGGGGAGACAGGAGATGAGAGCAGTCTGGTGCATGATTAATTCATACCCTTAAAAGTCTGAAATGCTCCCAAAGACATTAGTATTCCCCATGTAAAAAAGCTGTCCAGATTTTCAACATATCCCTGTCTTATTCCCACATCTATTGGAATTAATAGCTGAAGGCTTGTAAAGCCCAAAAGGCAAACGCAGGACTGCATTTAATCTAACACAGAGACTGAGATCATAGTTTGGGAGTCTAAATGTTGTTGTCAGAAGCAGAGACAGCCCAAATTCTCATTTATACAAAGATACTTTTATAATATCCTGAAAGCATAAATGCACCTCAGAATGGGTACTGTGCCAGCACTGACAGCCTCTTTGCACTGTGGAAACACTGGTAGGAAGGGCCCTACAGAGAAATGAAGACAAGTGGAAATGAAAACCCTATTCCTTACGTCTAATCCCAGTAGAGGTCAAGAGCTTTCTATGGTAAATTAGACTCCAGACAGTTCACTCTGTCTGTGTGTGTAGACCTGTGCAAAAGGAAGTTGTGCATGCACTGGAAGGAGGATGAAGAATCCACCCAAGTGTTTTAAAAGCAGGCATAAGCCCATGCTTGTTTTTTCACACTGCTTAGTAGTCCAGCCGTCACACCTAGAAATTACTCCATTTCTCTTTTGTGAAGGGGTCACTGTGTCTAAGCTGGTGAGGAATCCTCTGGAATGAATAAGTACCACTCTCTGCTTCCTGTATTCAACTTTTCATTGGGAAACTCTGGTGCCAATTTTACCCAAAGAAGTGTTGGGGTAACAAGAACCAACATTTTGGAGGTTCTGCCCCTGCCAGCCCTGGCTGAGCCCAATGTTGCTCCTGGACCCCAGCTCATACCCCTGCACTGTCCTCAATCAAGGCATGTGTTACAAGCCAATGAAACAGGAAAGTGCTTGCTGGGGACTGTGCGAGACACTCCATGGCCAGTTCTTCTATCTCTGAAGAAAATGTACTGAATGGGCTGATGGAGCCATGGTCGGACTGGAGCTGAAAAAACACATGCAGCTTGCTTTAGATTTGTTAGATGATGGTCTTTCTCTCCAGTAGCACACTTAACTGAGGCTACCAAATCCCTCACCCTGTCCTGCAGATGTGCAGAACTTAGTAGTTGAAAAAGAGGAGGTGGAGACACAGAATCTCATTACTGTAAGATTAAATCTGGGAGCTGCACTTGTTTTAAATCCAGGTAATGCCTGTCTTCAGTTGTTGTTTGATAGCTTGCTTGGAGCTACTTGTTTCAACATAGACAGTCTAATAGTCATGGAGATCTGTAGACTTCCTTGTTCTCTTAAATTCTCTCTAATTGACAATAATGCTTCTAAAGCTCATTTTAATATATTTTTTTCTTAAATTTGCCTGAGGCAAGCCTAGGGCTTCAAGGACCATTATACTTTCTTATTAGGGGATTTATCTCCCAGGTAAAAGAACCACAGTTCCTTCCTGCTGATGTTCAAGTCAAAAAAAGAATGCCTCAGCTCCAAGGTGCCAGAAAGGATCAAGGGATTAGCAAAGAAAAAGCTTTGAATTAAATGTGCAAGAGGATGCCCCCATTTTGAAGAAAAAACTAGAAGACCTGCTGCAAAATGACAGAATTTAATAGGGTAATAGATTGTTAGATAGTTTATCAGTTAGCATAATTTCAAACTGGAGAGAATAGTCCCGTGGTTGCTTTATTAATATTGTTGTTGTTGTTCTTGTTATAAACATTTATTATTTTATTGACTTAAAACTTACAGGTCTGCTGTACATTCACTGTCTTTTGGCTAAGCCAAGAGTCAATTTCTGTTGCCTTTGCTTTGAAGAAGAATATGAAGAAGGCATGGTTCCTGCAGGGGGGAATCCCAAATGTGCCTATAAGCAAGATGTCATATTTCCTTCCTGCAACTTGTCAGTGGGATTTCCAAGGGCTTTGAGTATTCAGAAACAATAATGAGTGTTATATCTCACTGTCTAAATACAACCTGACTTGTGACTGTTTTACTTAATAATTACCAGGGGTCTAATAGGTGATGGAAAAAGATGTCATCATCAGCAGGGTTGGGGCACACATGTTAGTTGAAGGTGTCCTGTGTGACGTCTCCCTGCAGCTGGGCATCCTGAGGGGTGTCTGTGGTCAGGCAGGACAAAGCTGTGGGGGATGGGAAGCTTGGAATGAGAAGCAAGCTGCATCCATGAGCGTGGGTGAAGGGCCTCCACACAGCTCAGTAATTCCCCTTTGAAAGTGAAGAAGAGTTTTTATTTCTATAGGTTCTAGGAATGGCTGTGGAAGTTGCTTGGCTTCAACTCTTAACCCCTCTGAGCTGGGCAGGACAGGGGCACAGTGACACAGGCTGTAAACAAATGGCTAGGGCTTGTAAGGACTTTTAAGAAACCATGGACAACGCATACCATATAAATTGGGTATCGAGACAAGCATGTGTTTGCCAAATCTATTTCCCACCACACAAATGCATGTGTCCTTAAGCAAGCATACACAAACCCCAAAAACCTGAACTAATGCCATTCATAAAGACATGCATTTTCAAATATAAATACCCACTCAAAAAGGCTAGCTGTGATACCTGTGTATTTACTGTGAACAGAAACATGAACACCATGTCCCAGACACTCTTGTGAAATAAATTTTGTCTTCAGTTTCAGTTTAATAGCTCAAGATCTTTCTGCCAGATGTATGAATGGCTTTGGGAGGCAAGGGAGGGAAAATGAAGATGTGATCAACGTAGGAAATGGTTTTCGGAAACCTTCCAGCATCGTGAGCAAGCGAACACAAGAGCACATTAGCATGGCGCACTGTCTGATGGATGCGCCAGAGGCTGGTTCATGGGACATACGCTCTGTTTCACTGAGAAGCAGACATCTGTGGGACGAGAAAAAGCAAATGGATGTAACAGACTCAACCTTGCAAAATTTTAGCAGAGGCTTGTGAAATTGCACTTAAGAATGAATGGACATTAAGAGCCGTCAGGACCTGAAATAAATTGATGGACCACAGTCATAGCTAATTGACAGTGACAAGTGTTATTTTGCACTGTTTGGACTGGAAATGACATCTTGAAAAATTAAACTGAGGCCAGCACACTCAGGATCACTGTTTTTCAGCTGCTCTAATAATCTCTTTCAAAAGTATCCCTGCATGCTATATTATGCATCCATAGCTTTACTTCTGAGCTAGAAGCTAACAGAAAAAAGCGTTGATTAGAAGTGTGAACAATATTAAATTTGGAGATACTGTATACACCAAAAAGCCCAAAAGATTTGTACAAAAGAAGTAGGGAGGCTGGAAAAACGGATTGAGAATAACAATGAGATTTCAACATGAGCTCAGAAAAGCTGTTGTTATCAAAGTTGAAATGTAGAGTCAGAAGTTGTAATGACAGAAACTCATTAAGATGTAGGCCTGGGAATAAAAGGGTGAGAGGTAATATCAGGGCTATGTAAACAGAGGTATTTTACCATCATACACAGATGTGACAGCTCATACTGCTCTTTATATAGTACCAGTAATAATGCATCTAACATTAACTCCAGATTGCAGGCACCCTGGTGTCAGAATGAAGGCAAAAGATGCTTTTGGAAAGTGAATAGGATGCATGATTGGGGAAGCATTGCTCAGGAAAAGAGTCTGTTTGCAATGACTGCAATTATGAAGTATTGCTAGTAGGGACAGAAATCCCCATCAGATAAATGGTATAACCTCTGAGATATATCACAGTGCAAGTCTAGGGATTTGGGGGTCTCTGACAAAAAAAAAAAAAAGGTGGTATTTCATGAGCAAATCAGGTTGCAAAGATCAGGATACTGGAAAGGCTTTGTGGATACTGCAAGGGTAATCCACTGGGATCAGGACTAATATTACTAACACAGGTAGGCTAATGAATGCAAGACACTGTTTACAACGAGGGTTAGTTGACACAGAAGAAGAGAAAAATCAACGGAAAGGAAGATTCATTGTTCCTTTTATTGGGAGGCCTGAGGCTAAAAAGAACCCCAAAAGGAGGCATTTGTAGTTGCCTGAAGGGTCTAGACTGGAAACAATGACTGTATGGCATAATGTGCATCTGATACCTTATACAAAACCATCAGTCGGCTTAGTCTTTCCAATGCTTCCAGGAAACCTTGAAGTCCTCAGGACTGTGCTGCCCTAGTTCAGGTACCAAACAGACCCCGAAGTCATCCTGCCTGCCCCAACATTGCTCCAGCAATCCTGATTTTCAAGACAAGCTGGTGTTCCTCACCTTACCACCTTGGTGCCGTTCCTCATGACCTGCATGTCCACCATGCAGCCGCCTGTGACATAAGCAGCCAGGTTCAGCTCGGAGAACTCAGCCTGGAGCAGAGCAAAAGGACAGAGTGTTACTCGAGGGCACAAACACACAGACACAGACATAGAATTGTCTTTGGCTGGAATGTGCCTTTCCTTATTTTTCTTTCCTTTTTCTTTTTTTTTCTGCAAGGCAATGGGAGATCCAATTACAGCTGATTTGCCCTGGAGACACTGCAGAAGTATTTATGGCTCCCACTCTTGGGGTGTACAAGTATAAAGGGTTAGGCTTATTGCAGTAATAAGTACTGCAGGAATTAAGAATGAGCAAGCTGAAAAACGCATACAGGAAAGAATAATAATAATAATAAAAAAGAAGTAAGGTCATTTGAATTCAAATTCCAAGTTTCCACTTGGAAACATCAATTTTCGAATTATGTCTGAGTTGGCTGTCGTGCCACTGGCCAGCTATAAACCTAATACAAAAGATTTAAACCTAAATAGCTAAATAGCTGAAAAGCCTCATTAAGCTGCAGGAAGGTGATAAGCAGAGAAACCCACCTGATCTGGTTTATTTATTAAGATTTTAACTATCAGAGGGTTAGCAAAGCTGGGAAGGCTATTAACAGTACTGCTCAATTATTCAAACATTTTATGTTTTCAAAGAGGTGTGACTTACACGGCTGGAAATGCTGGCCAGGAATATTTAAGCTATGGGGAGCAAAAGGCAATGTATGTGAGGGCGATTATGACTGCAGTAGGTGTCAGTGAAGGTTAAGACACAAATCACAATGATTAACTTGGGCCAGAGGTGTGATAATCCTCCTGCACGGCCACTGGCTCTGCTGCCCCTCAGAAGGAGTGCCAGCAAGACTCAGTGGTCTCAATTCCCTCTCTGTAGGAGCAGAAGGGCAGGATTAGCTGATCACTGCTCATCTTGGTCTCTGAATCCTGATTCTGTTCTTTATGAGCAAATGAGTAGACCTCAAATTAGAACAGTTTCTTATTGTGCCATGCAAGTTGTCCCTTTCCAGCTTGATGCAAACATACCTGTATAGATTCAGAACCCTATATTAAACTAGTGCCTCTGTAAACAAATAAAACTCATCAGGTTTTCTTTTCTTTTTTTTTTTTTGAAACAGAAAATTTAGTTGTCTCCCTTTAAACAGCTTTTTTTTTTTCCTTTTCCTGTGTTTCTTTCAGACTTAGTATGATAGAGACTATGCAGCAGTAAACTCCTAACCATTGCCTATGTAACACCAGAGCACACAGATGGCATTGCTAATGCTTGTAATTTTATTGAGATCCTTGTACTATTTAATGTTCTTTTGATACTTCTACTAGCTGGAACCAAAAGATAGTGCCAGGAACAACTTTTATACAGACACTCCCCCCAAACTGAGAAAAGTATGTTTTGTCCTCATGAATGCATGGAAAAAACTTGCCAATGGAGAACCAGTGCACCTGTAAATGCTCAGAGTCCAGATGACAAATGAAAAAATCACTTCCAACTTTCCTTTTTTTTTTAAATCCACCTAATTTTAAAGCAACGACCGTGGACTGGTGACCCGATGATGTAATGAGATTTCATGTCTGCGGCCCTGTATAAACTTTTCAAAGCAACACCCTTACATGATCTTACATCACTGTAACTCCCAATTACAATGAAAGGAGGGGGAAAATTCCTGTTGCCAGGAAATAAATCCTGCTTCAAGGATACACACACACACACACACACACACACACACACACACATATGAACAGAGGGAATGACAGTTTTTCAGGTAACCGGCTGGACTTTGTTATGAGATTGCCCAGTGTTGCCTTAGCCACAGCCATGCTTCCTCAGGGATCATATTGGATAAGGGTTAAGAAAAGATGTCCCTCTACAGGGCACCTGCATTTTATGTATTTTAAAAATCTCAATAAAGGTAGGGAGGGGGGAGTCCTCCTTGATGAATTTCAGCCAAGAGCACATGCTCTGTGTACCATCAGTGAGCTCCCTAGTGGGTCAAGACAAGCTTGCCAGCTTACACATTGGCTCAAGAGGCTCTACGGACTGGGGAGATGAAAGGACAGTTTTCCCGCATCTGTATCTGCATATGCCTCAGGTGCCTCAGAGATGTCCCACTCCGAAGGCAGAGGCTTATTGAGCTGCATCTTCAGCTTCTGCAGCCAAGGGATGCAATCGTTTGATGTGAACACCAGAGCAAGAAGAGAAGTTTTAGGTCTGTGTTTTCATGGTTTTATGTTTTCATTCTGTAAGTTTTTCCACAGTGATTTTGTACTAAAAAGCTTAGCACTTTGCTTTGCTGGGGGTAGAAATGGTCAATCTTCATTTGATGGCTGGTACTTACGATCTAAGTAAGTTGGTCTGACAGGCATTGCCCCGAGTCAGACCAAACAAAAATGTGTTCAGACACTTAATGTCCAACAGGCCTGGGAATCCTCCGAGATGGTAAGTACTTCATACCAAACTGCCAGGACCAATTTCAGGCCTGCTAATGTCAAGAGCCAAAAGAAAAGGAGAAATCCCCTTTGGCAACCATTGTCCAGGGGACCCTGGCAAGGAGGGAGGAGAGAAGAGAGGGTCTGGGGAACTCAACTACCTTGCCCTCAAAGCATCCAGATATACCATCACAGCTGAGGGACAATCTTAATTTTTTCATGACATTTGATAATGCTTTAATGTACCAAGTTAAGGGCCACTGCTGCTTTCATGTAGCTGCTTTGTCCCACCCGACAGGCCGCTGCTAGCTGGCGTTTAGAAGAAGACTGAAAACTTCAGTCAGCAGAAATTGTTTCCTGTTGATTTTCCAGTGCTCCCTGTATTTTTAACTTTGTGGGTTTTGTAGCCTGATGACTTCCCTTGGCTGGGATTCCAAGTCTGAGATCATCCCCAGCCTGGGTTTACCTTGCAGACAAAGAGGTCTTTGAAAGCCGTCCGTGCAGATAAAGTGACAGGTAGCTATGCACAAGACAGGAGAGCCCAGGGCCCCGTGGTCTTGCAGAGTCAATTGTTTTAGAACTCATCAAATAGAAGGCGGCATCATATTAGCCTGATGGTGTTTTATACTTGCTTTGCAACGGTGCCAATGTCTGCAAAAACATTCAGGGCAAGACTGAACCATGTGTGACAAACGTGACACAATCTGTCTTGAATAATAACATAATACAGACTGTGGGAGTAGAAGTATTTCATACTTCTGTGAGGCCCAGACCTGGAGGATGCCCACAGATATTCTTAGGACAGTTCTGTTACTGCCTATTTCAGTTATCCAGACTCAGAAATATCTCCAGATCATTTGAACTAAACCTTAAGCTATTCTCATTTTCTCCCATCAATATCCTCTAGGTGCTGGAGATCTTTTTGGTGAGCTATTTTAGAGTTTCTGTTTGCTGATAATAAAACAAGGAGGATCTTGTCTTTCTAAATTGTGCAATATTAGAAACACCTGGCTTGGTAGCTATACCTGTTCATGACTTGTGGGAAGCATGTGTTCAAGGTGGATTTTTAGCACTTTTCATAGAACAATAGAAAGTTGTGCTGGAAAGACCTGAAGACATAACATATCTTTCTCTCATTCCTAAGTCAGGATCAAGTCTACCTCTGCCATTGTGTGCAGATTCTTGCATCTTCCATAGGTGAGGAATCTCCTTAGGCAATTTGTGCCTTAACAGCCTTGGAAGGTTTTCCCAATATCCAGCCTAAATCTCTCCCCTTACATTTTAAGACTGTGTATTTTTTTTTGTCCATTACTTTCTCTTGCAGAACCTGAAAGTTAACCCTTCCCTCTTCCTTTCTTTTTTCCCCAGACAAAACTGTCCTCATTCCTGGAACATTTTCATGTAGGTGATGTTTTTCAGCACACTGATTAATGTTGTTGATGTCACTGGGATCCTTTCTGACAGGCCTGAAACTTCCTTGAGTTGCAATGGCCCAAACTCCCCCGATCCTTCAGCAGAGACCTAGACATTGTTGAGTAAGAAGTAACGCGACTCACCTTACATAAAATACTGCTGTCCTTATGTTCCAGCATGGGTTTGTCATATGTGCAGAGAAGTGACTGTTTTTTAGCTCAGATTCTGTTTGAGATCCACAGCAATACTTGCGTTGCTTTGTCTCAGCTACTGACTTGCCTTCTGTTTCCTGTCTTGTGAATCCGCCATTGATGATTGATGCGTAAAAGGGGGAGATTTGTCAATGCCTATAAAAACTTAATGGGAGGTAGTAAAGAAGATGGTGACATACTCTTTCCAGTGGTGCCCAGGGAAAAGACAAGGGGAAATGGGCACAAAATGAGAAACACTACATTCCATGTGGAAACAAGAAAACTCCCTTCCTATTGCAATGATTGTCAAACATTGGAACACGTTGCCCGGACAGGCTGTGGAGTCTGCATCCCTGGAGACCATGAAACTTTTATTGACCATGGTCTTGGGAAGCCTGCTTTATGTGTCCTTGCTCAGAGCAAGGTATTGGACTATGAGATATCCAGATGTGCCTCCCAGCCTCAACCATCCTGTGATAAGTTTGGTATCTGACAGACATCCTTAATAAACTTCTCCCTGCATGTCAAAGGGGAAGCCTAGGAAAACATTCCATTTTGCTGCTTGAGCAGATGCTGAAGGTCAGCTCATCTTCATTGTGGCAGAGGAATGCAGAAATAGGGATACAAGACAGGTTTTCAGATTTATGTTTTGGGGTCACGGTGGCCGATTCGTACTTTTTTTAAAGCAAGCAGGCTTGTCCATGCAGTGACAACCACATTGGGGCTTTTTGAGATACTCAACTTTCTAAAACCTCCTCTCTATGTAACTAGCTAAAAGCTTCTCTGACTGGTTATTGCTTAGAAGGGAGGCACAAGGTTGTAGACTTCTGTGTAAATATTTGCATTTATATATGCATTTGCATATATACTGCACATACACAGAAATAAGAGTGGATTTTATCACTACCAGGGAACCTTCGTGTTTTCCTTAGTGCAACATGCTATATGCTATAACACATACACTGGCTTTTTGGGCAATGCAGAGTACCCACATCAGGATCCCATCTGGTAGTT